AGCCATGGTCGGTCGTGACCGCTTGTACAGCAACATTGGAGAGAGTTTTGCTAGTCGGGGATTCCCCTGCGCCATCTTGTCCTACCCGATCGCGCCGACACCGTGGTTGATCAATCTAATCGAGATGGCGATCTCATTGTCGTATGCTTTTGCCTATTGGATGCTCGCAGCCCTTTTACTGTTTATCGTCCTGGAAGTCCTGCCTATAAGTTGTAGTTCTTTGGACAGTCACCTAAGAGTTCCTATCATCCCCCTAATGGCAGGAGTGATTATTATAGCGCAATGGATTACTCTCGCCATCATGATATCTCGCGAGCTATACTTAGAGAGACGACATCAATCGGGTACAAAGAAGAACATTTCAAGTAAAATGCCGATTGTTGTAGCACTTGTAGCGACAATCGCGACAGTTTCAACATTAGACATTTCCACCTTGGCAGAAAACAATACTCTAGCGCTTTCAATCTCAGGAATACTAGTCTTTACCGTTCAGTGTCTTATCTTTTACTTTCGACAGACAACGACCTTTGACCTTGGATCCAGTCTTGTTGCTGGCCCCAAGGATCAAGCAGAGTGTGTAACACTTGCCTTGAAATGGTTAGTTGACTATGGACAGTCAACTGGTCACTTTGATCCAGAATCTATTATCCTTGCTGGACATTCGGCCGGTGGTCATTTGGTATCCCTTGTAGCCCTAGATCATCATTATCTGACAGACGTCGGGATATCTCCACAAGTTATTAAGGTAAGGAAACTCCTTCAAAATGGCTGACAATTCTCTCTGTATTAGTGAGAAGAGATAGGGCTCTTTCTAACTCTCAACATATTGTCAAAGTGTTGTTATTAAAGTCTATCCTGTAATCTTTCCTTTTCATTTTTCAATTCTCTTTTTATGTAAAATCATTTGCCGAATGAATCAGAACAACCATTAAACCATAGAAAAAGTTAAATTACATTAAATTTAGTGTTCAGCTTTGGTCCTGACTATAATTTTAATTTATCCTGTAGCTTATTATATACTGACTGGTGATCACTTTAACCAAGCCATTTATGTGCTTTTCATGGTCCTCTTACTTCAGACACCTCATTAAATAATGTTGTATTGACGATTCTATAATTTTGTTTTTATCTTGACATGGAAATAAATAAATGAAATGAATTGCATGCCCATAGTACAGTATGATCCGATGGATCTGCTTTTATGTTGACAAATCCTGTTCCCTGTTCTTGTCTCTCTAGATTTAATTTTTCTTCAAATTTTTAAACAGGGTGTCATCAGTTTGTCAGCTGTCCATGATCTTCAAAGTATCAGTAAAGGATTCAACTACCATATCTATCTGAAACCAGCATTTGGAACAGATCCTACGTACTGGACGAGCATGTCTCCTATCGAATATGTCAAGCTGCTTGATGAAAATAAAAATCCAACTCCTACATCAACATCATCTGAAGAAGAAGAATCATCATCATTACCAACATCATCAGCAGCAGCATCATCATCTACCTCATCATTAATATTACCAACATCATCATCAACAGCAAAAGCAGCATCATCATCTTCGTCAATGCCATCATCACCACCACCATCACTCTCATCATCACAAACATTGTCAACACCACTACTACCCACATCTTCTTCAACTTCACTCCTACCAGTAAAATCATCACCACCATCTCCATCTCCATCACAACTCGAAGTCACATCATCATCCGAAATGACGCAAACTCCATCAGCCCCTCATCGACCCCACTTCCTCATCATCAGTCCTGCCCAAGACTTTGCTTTCATGATCAAGGATGGCGACAAGATGTGCTCGGTTCTATCCAAGAATGGATACATTACCCAGAGGAAATGGATGGAGGGATGCGGTCATTTCAACGTGGTGAGGAAGTTTGGTTGCCCCTGGTATCGGTTCTGGACTGGGGTTCTTCAAAAGAAAGGAGGATGGGTGCCTTGTGATGGTGAATTATTTTGTTGGGAGTTTGTCCGACAGTTTTGGAACAAGGATGAGAATTCTTCTCCACATTAATAGTCCGAGAGCAATAATTTGCAATGATTAATGGAATAGATTTCTTAATTACCTACCAGTATTTTATTATTTGAAAAAAGGAAGATGAGTCCCTAGTAACGGTGAACTGATATGTTGAGTTTGTTGAAACAGTTTTAGAGCAAGAAGTAGAATCCACATCCATAATAAAATCCATAGGTATTATCAATACAAATGACAGATAGAAGTGTAAACATTATTTCATTTTTCAATATATCTTTCATTTATTACACACATGATACATATCTTGTATAATATGTATCAAAAATAAAATTCCAATCACCACGATATATTGTGTAATTGAGAAGTTTCTCAAGAATACACGCCTGTAAGAGAATCCTATTTCAGAAATAAACTTAAAGTTAGGTGAAATAAAGATATAGAGAATACCAAGCAAGATTGAGCTCTTTCAAAAATCATCAAATGATATTGTGACATAATAAATCGATATGAAATATATTTGTGACATTTTTCTGAAAAGATGTTTAAATTGTTTTTGCCATTAAACCTTACCTAACTCCATTTACAAAGGGAATTCCTTTCATTGATTATTGCATTCAAACTGTTGACAAAGACAAAAGAAAATGGGCACAATTCCACTCGAGCACTTTGAGAAAAAAAAGATTGTTATTAAATATATTAGATGTTTGTAGCCTTCACTCACTTTTTATTCAAGATTTGTTTCTAGACTACAAGTACCATAACCATCTTGTATTGTTAAAACTTTGTTTTCAATAGTGTAGGAGTCTATTACAGAATGTTAAAAAGAAAACAATGTCGAACATTATCATTGTGATTTTATCAATTAGTATGATGAATATTAAAGGATTTGTCTTTCTATGCATTTTGTCAATAAGCATTGCAATATCAGCATTTAGTTTTAAATGCATTTGAAGATTAATTTTTAATTCTTTTTTCTTTTTCTGTTACCTTGATGTGTTGTTTGACTACATTAATTATACTGGATATAGCAAACTCATGAGTCCAGTATAAAATAATCAATGTTAATTATATGTTAACAATATTCTGATTAAATGATGCATTTAATGCTAAAGTTAAATATCTGCCATCTGTATTTTGTTATCTTTATACAAAGTTCAGTAATATACTCTACTTTATACAGACTGTGTGACCTTTTATTACTGTATTTACCATTCCTATCATCTTCTACAATAAAAGCCGCGCAGCCAAATTACCCCGCAGGAAGGCAAAACTTATTTCTGGACATTTTCTAAATCGGTTTTTTTTTAAAAAATGAATGCAAGGAGCCTCTCTAAGATTGCCCCAAAGGAAATCTAACTACAAGTATAACACTAACAACGCAAAATGGGTTTTCCAGAAAAGACCCCAAGGAAATGGATAAAAAAACATGAAACGTGATGCAATCTCCACAAAAACCATTCAATAATCTTAAAAGTGTAGGATCTATAGCGCTTATACATAATATTTATCAAACTATAATCAAAGAATTAGCTCAAGTTAAACCTAAAATAACCCTTGTGCCAAGAATTCCAGTTAATTTATCTTCATATAAATATCTAAAAAAGCTCCCCTGAGACCTGAGTAAAGAATTTAAAAAAAAACATCCAAATATTTGCAGAAGGTGACTAGAATGTTAATCTTTGACACAAGATTAAATGTTTCAATACTGTTCACATCTTTTTGTATATATGTTGTAGGGACTACTACAATTGTTCCTGTTTACAAGTACAGGTACATATCTTAAACTATATGTATTTACATTATTGCATACTTTCACCTTTTGATTCTACTGAACTGATTGGATAGTTAATTACTTCAAATAAAAAGTTACAATGAAAAATTATATATTTGCATTGTATTATATTATGCCTAATTATGTGAACTAATGTATGGACTTGGTACACAGAGAAAGGTGAATTTCATCTTACACATACACCTGAACTGACACAATTCATTGATTTTGCAGCAAAGCACACTTCAAACTTTGGTAAATTTCTGACAAAACAAAATTTTTAGAAATCAATCACATAATTCTACAATGATTAGTTTTTACAACTATCAAGCCATATTGGAAAAAAAAATCCTCCACACAAAGTTCAAGGGAAAACTCCATAATTCATACAAAAGCGCTGGCTTTGAACTAGTCTTAATCAAGCACAAGGGTGATTTAACAAAAACATCAAGATCTAGAAAAAGAAATCACACTAAAAACTATATATTTTTTGTTTTTAAATAAACTATATTTTGTTCATTAACAAAAAAGTCAAAGAAGGACCTACCTGAATAGAAAAAACTGGGTAATTGTGTTACTAAATCCCCCCAAAAAATTTATGTGACCATAATTAGTCAAAATGACCAATCCAATCCAATCCGAAACATATTTTACCTTGCAGTTACAAAGTGCGGCACGTATTGTTCCTCATATAAATATCATGATGTAGCATTGTTGACTTTTCACACAAATCTGACTGTAATCTTTACAAGAATACCAATCGCATACGGTTCGCTCAGAATGGCTTTTGGCTTTGTAGTGACATTCAATTCAATACTAGCAGTACCAGTCATATCTGTCAGTAGTCTCAAACTTCTTGCAGCGATAAAAAAACATAGACATGATTCTCTTAAGCCTCGTTCAGATATGCCGAGGTAAACTGTTCCGTTTTTTTTTAAATAATGAGGTAATTGTAATATGCTCCACATACCCATATCCTACACCACAACTTAGAGAATACACACAGGACCATTCTTGCACACAGTTACCATTCATTAAAAAGCATTTACCTCTGCATATCTGAACGAGCCTTGATAAGTTTCAGCAATTCCATTTCATTCAGTTCCAATTAATTCATGTAGCGATCAAACATAGACATGATTCTCTCGAGCCTTGTTCAGATATGCGATGGTAAACTGCTCTGGGCCCTGTTTCATAAAACTTGATATCAATAACAAGTTACAAGCTACTGTTATAAGCTACTGAAATCATGGCATTTGATTGGCTGAGAGCTAATTTGTCATATAAATTTACCATTTGTTATTGATAACAAGTTTTATGAAACAGGGCCCAGGTCTTTTTGAATAATGAGGTAATTGTAATACACTTCACATTCCTGTATCCTACACCACAGCTCAGTGAATACACACAGGTCCTTTATTAAAAAAAGGTTTACCTCTGCATATCTGAACGAGCCCCATAAGTTTCAGCAATTCCATTTCATTCAGTTCCAATTATTAACAAATGGGGTCACCTCAGACTTGTCCCATGGGCTTAAGATCTTCAGCAACTTCAAACTCGGCTTCGGTGTTCTCGATGATGTCCTCGATAGTCACACCGTCTGCGATCTCGATCAGGGTCATGCCTTTCTCACTGTCGAGGTCAAACACACCCTAAATGCAGAGAGGAAGAAAGAGAGTGTTTGGTCATACAAATTATTTTGAAACTGAAATTGCATGAATTGGGTACCTTACATACATATCTTAAATTTTGAAACTGATGAACTGATTAGTACACTGGTAATGAGGTAATAGCGAATAATATCGCTAGTGACATTCGTTTGCCTCGCAATGTATGGTCAACAAGGGATCTAAAAGATCATAACGTTTCGTGTGCCGCTGCTACACTTCGTCAGGTGATAAAATATCTTGTAAGCAAGCGTGTTTCATACTCTACCCGTAGAGTATAAAACATGCTTGCTTACTTTGCTTACGAAGATTAACAGACAGTGTTTCAGATTTTCTGTGATGTTTTAACCAATCTTAACTCTAAAAAAGAATAAGGTAAGAGTTCTTGGTAGATTTTTGTGTCAACTTGGTATATAAAAGATATATTGACTGCTTTAATGTTCAAGGTCTGGCTGTTTCTATACTGGCTCTCGGGACGTTGCATCCTGCCATGACCCGAGGCACGTAAAAAGGGGCCAGACCTCTCATAGCAGTTGATATATCTATATCATTATGCTTACCATTTCTGTGATGACTCTATCCACGCATCTCCTTCCTGTCAGCGGGAGGTTGCATTCTGAAAGCAGCTTTGGCTTGCCTCCCTTAGCAGCATGTTCCATGGTCACAACCACCTTGGTCCTAGGAGAGGAGACCAGGTCCATAGCTCCTCCCATGCCCTTCACCATCTTACCCTGCAAGTGCAAAGGGTGAATAATAATAATGAAATTAAAAATGGCTTCATATATAATGCTCTTATCTCTCACACTGTGATGCAAATAGTGCTTACACACACTTACACATTATTACCTCCAGTTATTGCGGAGTTGCCAAAGAAACTAGGAGCTCAAGCATATCAGGAACCCACTTACACTTACAATGTCTTACCAAAAGATGTTAGTGCCGGGCAGGGATATGAATGCTATCCCTTGTGTTCTACATTCTGGAGACGAATCCATGAGATCACAACACCTCTACAAAAAGAACTTTACAAGTTTTATCCTTGTCAGAGCCACAGACAGTTTCAATCATCCATATTTATATTGCATATAATAATCAGGAAAATTTCTTTTGTTGTGTACCGTAGTCAATTATCATGTAGCAATTTATCTAGAAGGACAATGAAAAAAGGAATAACAGTTGGAACCCTCCCACAAGCACGAAAAAAAAAGTTTTAGAACTATAACTAAACAGATCAAAAATTCAACTAGGCTTAGTATTCACATCCTTCTGCACAGCACACAACAATTTTTCTCTTGAGACTTGAGAGTTGACTTACCGGAATCATCCAGTTGGCAAGATCTCCATATTTAGATACCTGCATGGCACCAAGAATCGTCAGATCAACATGTCCTCTGCAAGAGAAAACACACAGACAATGAAATACAATGATTTCTTTTGCTGCATTTGGAAACTTGACAAAAATTGCTGTAGAAAAAGATCACTTTGGATTACATAATCAAAGTACACTTTTATTGCTAAATAGTATGCACACATGAGCACTCAAATTCTACCTCCAGAACCCCTCCCCCCTCCCCCTCAAATCATAAATTTCAACTAGGGGCTTATACACACAAAGCTTATCAGGTCAATTCAGCTGGTGTGTAGCCCAACTATAAGTATGATAACAGTTAAAGTTTGAACCAGGTGTGTGATAGAAATTGAAATGCTCATCTATTCCAAATTTTTGCCAAATAAAATACATTCAATATATGTAGTCAAACCTGTCTATTAAGGCCAACCAAGGGAATAGAGAAAAAAGTGGCCACTGCAGACAGGTGGCCTTTATATTTTAGGGCTAGTAGCATTTTAGTTGCCCTTGTAAGGCAATCAATTCTCTCACATAGGGGCATTTATTTGCCCAGGGTACCTATGGCATTTGCAGATTGTGTATCCTGCATTAACACTTTGACAACTGGATTCTCAGATCCCCATAGGCTTAATACATGAGATACCCGGTTCCAGTGGGCAACGGGTTAAAGCCCATCTGTACTAGTTTGGCCAGGGGGATTAGACCTCCCTGCAAGGTCACTGACAGGTGGTTATCTCATCAAATTAGCTCTCAATTAACATAAGAAACAGGGGATCATGGGGGACCAACAGGCACCAATTAGGCATTGTGTGCTATATAGAGGGCACAAATAGCTATAAGTAGTACAGTGGGGCTTTAAAAGGAAATGCTTCCTGTGAGTTCTCACCCTCTGATCATGGAGAAGGAGTCGTCGCTAGAGAAGTAACTGGAACCTGGAAGCACGGTGACTGTTTCTTTACCAGCATTGATCAAGTCTGGATCCTCTTCTCCCTTCCTTGGGAATGGACCCTACACAACAAAACAAATCACATATCATCACAATTCTTGAAAGTCATTCTTATGCCCTTTTTCCTAGGATTATTGCATATTCAAGAAAGAAATGTATCCCCTGAAATAGCTATTATAGATTTATATGATTATTTAATCAACTACTTGAAAATAAACTTGCTGATAAACCCACTTACTTACATGGCATGCTACAACATACAGCATCAATGCATACCTGGGCTCGCCTCACTTATACAAATACTATAGCAAGATTACTACCTTAAACTGGGAAATGAATCTAAACACAGAAATTTAACATATATTTATTATTCTCCTGCTCCAGAATAGAAATTCTATAATTTTTTAATCCAAAAAAAGTTGTACGCAATGCACCAAATGGAATTGTCTATCTTACCATCAGACTGTATTCTGCACCTTAAAACAAAGCAAATTTGTTCTTCTGTAATCTTCAAGATATAAACTAATAGTATTGATGTTGAATTTCTTACCAATCCAAGCACTCCATTCTCACTTTGTAGATAGACTTTCATATCTGGTGTGATGTAGTTACTGGCTAGCATGGGCATCCCAATACCAAGATTAGCTGAACACATTAGCATTAAGGATAAACATGGTTGATCTTGGTTGGAATCAGATTCATAAAAAATTAACTCTCTTCCATTGTAGAATCAATTCAACAGCTTACAAACTTCTTTTTTTTTAAAGAGAAGAAATGATCTTTGACCTTTTGACCTGAGTATTATGTCTTAGTGTTTGATATACTCATACAGACTTGAAGCAAGTTCAGTGAATCTAATCCTCTGGCTTTCAAAATCCATATTTAGCTCATTCTTTAAATCCTACACTAGATTGGAAAACCAAAGAAAATCAATTCAGAACTTAAGTAATATAATTGAAGCAATGGTTATTCATCTCGTGACCATCACCTTACGTCAAGTTTTTTAAATGATTCTTGGACCAAGGCGGAAAAAAAAATGAAGAAGGTAAAATAATGTAATTATTATAATGTGATTATTTAGAACAAAATCAAAGTCAACACAAGGTACACATCAGGAAATTTTTACACTGACATATTGAGAAAGCAAGCTAAATGACAAGAAATGGCACTATTTAACTAACAAAGTATGATCAGCTCTGATGAGGGTCATTATAACGACTGGGGTAATAGTATCAAAAGTCTTTTGGAAGTGCCTAGAGACGTTTATCTTGATGTGATATATGCCCTATACAAGAATGGCATATTCTAATTATTATTATTAAAGGATACCATACATTCCATTTTCAAATTCTAACGCAGCTCTCCTGATAATTCTTTCTCTCATAAGTGCAGCTGGACTTTTAGCTTCGTCGCCGGATTCAGATTCTTCTTTGGACAATGTCAGCCTCTGTGATAAGAACAAGAACACATACAAATGATCGATTGTAAAGAACACAGCGATTACTCCAAGATGATGTCTTCTGCATGGGTCCAGTCATTGTGGGGGGGGGGGCACTGGAATGTCTTATTGAATGGATGAAATACCAGCTGACAACGTCTTCCGATATGGGCAAAATTGTGGGAAAGGTTTTATAACTTTTAAAAAAAAATTCTTCACCCTCTTGCTCCTTCCCCCCACCCCTTTTTTTCTCTATTTATTTGGTTAAGTGGTACATGCCCCCACGCCCTGTGTATCTATGCCACTGATTTTCTGCATAAACATGTTTGTCAACCATTTATAGACCCCTAGAAGAAGATACTAAGATATGTACTCAAAACCTTTCCTTTTGCTTACTAAACCCTAAATATACCTTGATATGCCCACAAATCTTCATCCACAGCAGAACAAGATTTAGAGCCAGAACTTGTGGATGAAATATGTAGAAAACAAGAGCTCTTCCTCTTCTTCACACACACACACACACACACACACAATTTTCAAGAGTCGTATAAAAACCATAGAATTGGTCGTATTTTCACACACTACTACTTCTTTTGGTAAGACATGAATCTACATTTGCCACACTCTACCCAGGTGAGGTAAATTGGTACTCAGAAGAAAGAATTTTTTTGAAAGCTTGAGCGCTTTTTCATGGTAGGTCAGCTAAAGCCGGGGTAATAATATGATTGCAGGGCCCTCAGGGAGAATAGTATCAATACTAATGAGGCTACCCTGGGTAAACAAGACATATTATTATTAATATTATTATTATTACAACTCAACTGTACTTGATTTCTCATACCTCTATCCTCTTCTGGTAATTCTTTCCAAGGACGACCTTCTGAACATATATACTTGGTACATGAATATCCTCAGGTGCGAAGGCATCTACATTAACTATCTCTTCAACCTAAAGTAAACAAAATTAAAGAAAAAAGAAAAAAATATTAAATGAAAATGTTAGCATTACCTGGCTTTAAACAAAATACTATGGGTGGCGAAATTGTGCTTTTTTTTGTCATTAAAAAGAAATGGCATTGTCATAATGTTTAAAATCAGCAATAGTACTTATGTAATCATTTAAAAATATTTTAAAAAAGCATGAGGGTCTGTGGGAGTCAATAGTATTATTTGTTTGAAAAGGGGAAAGCTGAGTAATACTTTAGTTCTGGGGATGTTTAACAAAAACTAAGATCGACTTTAAGATGGAGTTAACTATGGCAGGCCGTTCATGCCACTGTTTGCTCTTACCATTTACTGGCATTGGTCTCTGAAAGGATGTATAAATCTTGGTCACAAATCTACAGAATTTACATTTTTTTAATTTAAATAATATCTAAAGATCATAATTGAGAGACCAATAGTGAGAGCAACCAGTAGCATGAATGGCCTGTCATAGTTAAGTCCAACTTAAAGTCGATCTTAGTATTTGTGATACACTCCCCAGGAAAGCTCCAAAAGAGCTCTAGTGAATATCAAATAAATCATATAAATTAATGCAATACTATACTACATGCTCTATACCAAGTCCAAAAAAAGTTCCCATACATCCAAAAACACATTTGTCTAAAAACAGTAGAATAAAATAATCATCATATTATCATTGATGTATCATAAAACAACTAAATATGGTCTGCTTACTTCAGCAATGGTGATCTTGGCAGCTCTAGCCATAGGTGGGTTGAAGTTTCTGGCTGTTTTTCTGAAGATGAGGTTGCCTGCTCTATCGGCCTTCCATGCCTTCACAAGGGCATAGTCCCCTACGATAGCATTCTCCATGATGTAGTCTACGCCATTGAACATCCTTGCCTACAAATAGGAGAGATAAAGGTCAAACCATTTTATTTCCCTTTCAAACACTACACCCACACATTTATCAACCTTTCAAGGCAAACAAAAAGAATACAGTCATTTTGTATACTTTTTACACAGAAGTTTTACAAAAGAAAGAAATCTAGGATCCATAACATTAGTTTGAAGGCCAAAAAGTAGGAATAATTCCTCCAAAACAGGAACGGTTGCCAGCTATGCACCAAGGTCTCTTATTGGACAGGAAAAGTATTGATCATCGATGGAAAAGAAAAACTGAACCTTGGGAGGTAGAGGAGGGTAATGACACTGTGAAAGTTTAAAGGGATTGGGCAACTTTGTCTCAGATTCTGAAAAAAAATCCTGGATTTAGCTCATGCTGCAATGATAATTATAAACCTTTAGGTCAGTCAGGAACTCCATGACTTTTACAAGCCGATCACCTGTCCGATTATCAAGATAGGATATTAATGATTGGAAATCGAAATTTCAAAATTGGTTTTCCTAACGGTTTTTATAACACTACAGTCTATTGGGGAAAATGAGTATGGTAAAATCGTTCACTCAAAGATTTTTACTTTTTGAGGCACTTCATGATCATTTTGAAGCACAATTTTTTAGGGCTTCAATATTACACCATATCACAGACACTGATCACACGTAGGGCCATGCATTTCAGATTTAATATTGTTAAACTTTAAAACTGTTGTAATACCTCTCTAGGGTCACTGGTGATGGCTACCGATCCATCGTCATTGTATTTGATAGGTGATCCACCAAGGTGTACCAGGGTACCGAAACCGGTAGGGGTGAAGAAGGCTGGCACCCCTGCCCCTCCTGCTCGTATCCTCTCTGCAAGTGTACCCTGTCAAAAAAGTAAGATGATTGATATCTTGTTCAGTGTTTGTGGCAAACAAATAGATATGGCTCCTCGGGTGTAAAAAAGCATGTTTTCAAAAATATATTAAATTTCAGAGACATATCAATGAGTAGAGTACTTTTTCTTCCTGAGATATCAATTCCAAAAGAGAATGTCTGCATTCAAGTTGATTGAAAATCTATAGAACTTAATTGCATGTAGTAACTCTACTCCATTAAAGTTGGCTTATAAAATGTCAAGTTGTCAACCAGCCACCCAGAAAAAAGAGAAAAAGGAGAGAGCGGGAGAAAATCTACTCTCTATGAGTGTAAGGTATCTTCAACAAAGATCCTTAAAATGAGGGGCAAGCCATTGCTCAAAAGTTTCTACAGTTTGGCTTTTCAGGTAAATAACATTATCTGTCAACAAAAAATTAATAAACCAGTTGAACAGCAATTTTGATTCTTTTGATTCTTTGTACATTTGTAAAATGTGAGCACAACAAATTTCCAATAATAAACAATAAATTGAAATTGATTGATTGAATTGAAATACATCTCTGAGAAGCACTTAATGATGTGCTGAGCAAAATCAATTTTATGGTAAATATTTGTCAGATATGATGACTTGTTTACATGAAAATCACCCGCTTATATGTACCACTAAAACTATGGACTCTCCACAAAGAGTGCACTATACCTGTGGTGTGAGCTCGACTTCCAGCTCTCCAGATAAATATTGCCTTTCAAACTCTGCATTCTCACCGACGTATGACGACACCATCCTCCTGATCTGCTTCGTCTTCAAGAGTAGACCAAGACCAAAATCATCCACACTGTCAGACGAGACATGTATACAAACTTCAAAATTGAATCAAATCTACATGTAATACCGTACATTCAATATACTTTTTTTTCTCAATCTTTTGAGGTTGAATCGTGAATGAATCTGTTCTAAAATGTTTCTCTTCATACTTTCAACTGATTTTAAATCTTTTCAATTCAGAAATGTATATCCTACATAGAAACAATTATTACTACTGGGCAGATGGACTAACTAAACATTTGACTCAATCTGTATAATTGCAGTGCAAAAAGAGATAACTATCTACTAATTACTATTCATTCAACTGACTCATAGTGAGATGTGACCCTGCCCCCCCCCCCCCCCCACTCCGGAACGGCTCGTAACAAAGAAAAAGATCTGCTCGTATTGACTTTACACACCGGACTTATGCTGAAAGGGCGGGGGGGGGGGGGGGGGGGGGGGGGGTGCTGGGAACACGCGTATGCGTACCCTGAATAACACTGAGTGGGGGGGGGGGGGGGGGGGGGGGGGATGTGACACACACCATGTTATACTCCAAGGAGTCCAGTCACATCAAGGAGACACAGAAAAACTGAAAAAGTGCATTATTTCTAATGGCCAATAGTTGGTGGACTTAGATTCGATCTAGTGGTGCGATTGAGTTACAATATGACAAACATATGTCAGGGTCAAAAACAGAACCTCGCGTCTCTAACAAGCAATAGATTTACTAAGATATTCAAATGTTATGCATACTTTTTAATCAAGGCTGTTCTTGAAAATCTGAAAGCTGGCCAGAGTCTTGCTTGCAATAGTAACAAGTATTGTATGCAGACTGTATTCCAAGTATTGCAGTTCATTCATTAATAATAGGTTAATGGAATAACTTGTCACTAGGTCCCCAGGTAAGAAACATCCATACATTTTAATATGTTATTAAACCAGTCCATTGGATCAGTGGGTCAAGAACAGCATATGACTTACCCTGCATTATTACTGACTGCTGTTATATCCTTTACTCCTGTATCCAGTAACCCTTGGATGAGGTTCTCTGGGATGCCACACAGTCCAAATCCTTGTGTTCAAATATAAAACAGAATGAAAGCATGCCATTACTGATCTCAGTGACTGGTCACGGAGATCAGTGATCAGTCACTGCTTAATGATGAGAGGCATCAGGGGTGGGAGGCAAGGCTGATACTGTCAATGTTGCATAGAGGAATATTCAAGACTATTCATTAGACATGAATAATGATTTTTTTTTTAGAACTTTGAATATAATATTTAGGATTCCATTATCGCTGAATTTTGTTTTCTTTGTGGAGTTTGAAATAAAAGAATTACAAAGTTTGAAACTAGAAATCCAACATAAGTTTGGCAAGTATCAGGCACACAAGAACAATGACATTAAACAAGTCTTTGACATAGCCTTCTCAAACAAGCATCCTGAAGAACCACCCTCTCCCCCCTAGGATTTCAAAACTGGGTGTCCAAATTGAAAAATTGACCCCAGGCAACAAAATAAGGGACATCGATTATTGACATGTATATTTGGATTCTCCCCCCCCCCCCCAAAAAAAAAAAAAAAAAAAAATTGGGCATCTTTTGGATACCTAGCCAACACCCTCCTTGCTAAAAAGCCCCCCCCCCCCCCATGACAGATTTGTATTCAGATGACTTACCTCCAACAAGAAGTGTTGCATTATCAGGTATCTCACTGACTGCTTCTAAAGGATTCTCACAAAACTCCACATTGAGACGTTGAGTTGTAGACAGGCATCTTGCTAATGGCTGTCAAACAAATAGAAAAAACAATTTAACAATCAATTTGAAAGTAATTAGTTTATTATTTATCTATCAAAATCAATTTTTCTGATTTTCTTGTACTCTTTGTCTAAATACGTATTTCAATCTCATTATCATAATCAGCAATATCATCATTCAAGAAAATATCATCATTGATTGTTCATCATCATCGTCATTTATCTTCATCATTGTCATCACCATTATCATCATCAACAACATTGTCATAATCATCATCAACATTCATTATCATCATCTTCAACATCGTCATCATCATCCCCATTCATCATACTGTCATCATTATTCATCACAATCATCTCCACCAGTACAACCATCATCACCAACATCATCATCCATCAGCTTCAGACTATAAATGAAAGTCTGCAATTCAAGTCTGTGCACCAGAACTATACAGCGTGGAGCTTAGTTAATCTGTAATATGATACCTGGATTTCACTTGAATTCATTTGTTTATCAGTTTTATTCATAGTAAAACTCACTTCAGCCTCAAGAGGTATGTCCTCATCAGCTCGATATTGCCAAATAGCCCGCTATTTCTGATTTCAGAAATAAGCCCAAAGCTACAATTCATGTCTTAATCAGCTCGAGACTCGACCTTGAACCTAAAGCTCAGGCAATTAGATTGAGATGTTTTGCTCAGCGTTCGCGCATATAGTGCTAGTCTTCGGGCTGGTGAAGATGCACCAGACAAATAGCAGGATATTTTGCAAATTAGCCCAAGACATCTTGGGATGAAATCTCAAAAAAATATCCCGCTAATCGCAACTGCGGGCTGATGAAGACGCAAATTATCCAGTTAATTTGCGATTGGGATATTAAGATAGCGGGTTATTTGGCAATCTCGAGCTGATGAAGACAGGCATAAGGGCAGTTTTTGTTTACAGCATAGGTCATTAGGTATACATTATATTTACAATTGTACATCCATATATATACCGCTAGGCCAATACAGTACATCTGACTTGGAAATGGATATCTGATTTCCAGTGTTATGTTTTGTCAAGAAGGGATTTAGTTATTTTAGTACCACTTGCTTATTATGCAATACATTTGCACATGAGCTTTTGACCCTTCAGTTCACTCTAATAGATTTTTTTTTGTAATGAGGGCAAGCTAATGAAGCTACCCTATAATAAACTGTGTACAACTCAACTGAGAAGCAGCGAACCGATCCATTGGCCTATTTGGGACTCTTCTTAAGTTACAGGGACTGCTGGTACATGTATGGCCAGATGTCAACAATCATGGATCTGATGAATCCTCAAGTGGCTATTGCTCCCAATTGCAAAATGTACATAAAATATTTAAAAAATAGAATATATGCATATGAATGAGACGGTTTCAATTAACTTCAATTCAAGGATAAGATTTTCAAGATTATGTAATAATTAGATGGTGGATAATTTGATATTTTTTTTTTTTAAAGTTAGTCATCAATATACATGTATGTATTCATCAATGTATTTATTTTTTTCACAAAGAATGATTAGAAAAACATGCTCAGTAAATAGATCAGTTAATATGAAAAAAGGTAATACAATAAATAGTAAAGAATATTTAAATTAACGTTAGGAAAGGATGATAATATAGAACATAATACAAGAGAAACATACGTATAGACTTACAGTATTCAATAAAAAATAGTATAAAATCATTTAAGTAATGCATATTACATCAAGTCATTTTATATCTTATTAAATAATAAATATCAAGTATTATAAGACATACGGTCAGCCAAAGTAACATCTCTTGAGGGCTACATTTACGGTAGTTAGAAAATAAAACTAGGATTAGGAAGCACATTTGGAAATGAGAGGCAAAATAAGTGAACCATCTTGCCTAAAATCAGAATTCCCTTTCAAAATATGGGTGTAATTACTTGGATGCCACTCTGAAAATACCTGCTCTCCCATTGAAAATCACCATCTTTAACGTTAATCCTCACTTCATCAAAATCATCATAAATATTCAACAAAAACATCTTCATCATCAAGACATCATTGAGAAAAAAATATAGGCCTAATCTCTAATCTCTAATCTAACTCTATGAATACACTTTGAAATGCATAGATTTTGAATCATCATTTTTAATCCAAAACGTGTAAAAATGAAAACCAACAATCAACATAACAATTAACATGACCAACGTCCAACCAAGGCAAAAAGTTACTTCATCTCATTTTTTAATAAAAAATTTAAGTTTAACACTCAAACAAACATAAACGCCTCTTTTAGGCTGATTATTCCAACAAATTTTCAACTCCATCCCTCCATCAAAGCATGTATTTAAATGTCACTTTGATACACTAACAGTAACACTTCTTTCACGTCAAACTCAGTCAGCTCAGAGCGATGGGCAAGACCAAAATCTTTTAACAACACACACAATTATTCAGGCATGGGACTGAAGACTTAAATACTAGATTCAATTACCCTGTCATTATCAAATCAAAAAGTAATCTATCAATCTAATTTTGTACAAAGATAGGAAATAGTAATGTCACCTGCACTTGAAACGCCTTGCTCACTTTGCTGGACAGGCCAGGGTGGAATTGCGAGATAGCTCTGTTGATATTGCGCAGAAAACTCGCCATGTTGATTGCCGACATGTTTTACAAAATGAACTGACACTGTGCATGCATGCGCATATGCATGCTACAGAGCTAGCTAGCTAACTGGATGATGCGGCACTGGAGGGAGAATCGTATATTTGTTTGATTGATTGATTGATTGATTGATTGTTAGTTTCGTTTTGCATTTGTTATGTGCCGTTATATTTAGTGTTTGGGTGGGGGTGGTGTTGGCTGTTATTTTTTTTATTTATTTATTTTTATTTTTTTTATTTTTATTTTTTTGTTTTGGGGGGGGGGGGGGGGGTGGGGGGGGGGGGGGGGGGGGGGGGGGGTAGGGGAGGGTATTTTTTATGTGTAGGACTATAGGTGTACCGCATCAAAAAATCTTTTGGCAGGTAGATTGAATATGCAGTATATTGTGAATTGAAGTAAATTGTCAACATCACAATGATGAGTAGTATTGGTGGGCCGAGAGGAGGCAGGCGCCCCCGCCCCCCCCCCCCCCCCCCAACAGCAAAAAAAAAAACGGTAAAAAAAAAGATGGTAACGTTAATTTGACCTCTTTTAAACAAAAAACTAAAGTTTAATATTGGGTTTATGAATATTCATATATCACTGGGTCAACGGGCTGACTCGTACGTGGTTATTGGACGCTTATTCACCGGCCGACTGAGTCGCTGGTTATTTTTCACAATTGAACGCCCCCCCCCCCCCAAAAAAAAAAATATATATATATATAATAAATAAATAAATAAATAAAAAATAAATTAAAAAAATGTGCTCGTACCCCTACCCCGCTTATTCACCGGCCGGCTTCCTTACAAATTGGAGACCCCCCCCCCCCCCCCCCCCAAACAACAACAACAACAATGTGGCGGCGGAGCGACTTCCAAAGTGGGATGATGAGCACCAACCAAAAAAAGGGGCACTTTGGGGGAAAAAAGGGCACCTACAAAAGGAAATCTCAAAGCGAATATGTTCAATTTGTAGACATTGGTATATACCCCTACATTGTGATTATATAATCAGGAATGATTTCAATATTTGTTTCTGTTTTTACAACAGACAAGACATTGCTTAATTGCATCATACTTCGCACTTATGTAATGGTCTAAAAAATAATTTGCGAGCGAAGAATTTATTTTTAAATTTGTGAGGTCGCAGTGCCAAAAATTATAAGCACATTCTCAGAAGACTGAAAGGACCTTTTTATAAACGCGAGCGAGCTTTGGGGGAAATTGCTCTTAGTCGCTTGAAATAAAGGGCGCGTTTAATGATGACAGGAAAAGGGGACACTTCGTATAGAACATTTATTAGAAAAGAAAAGGATCACTTCGTGTTAGGGTACAAAGGGTTATTATCAGTGTTAGGGTACAAAGGGTTATTATCAGAGGTGAAAATGGGGCACTTCTGACACTTTACCAGGGATTTAAATCGAGGCACTTATGATTATGGGAAATGGGCATTTGTCGACGGAAAAGAGGCACCCATCAGATTTTGATAGGGGCATTCATAAGAGGTGAAAAGGGGCATTTATGAAAAGGGGATAGGTCCCTTATATGAAAGGAAAAGGGCACGTATCATTATTTGAAGGGAAATTATCAGAGGTGAAAAGGGGCTCTTATCGCACCTGATATGAAAGGGGGCACTTATGAGAATAAAAAAGGGGACACCGATCAGATTTTAAATAGGGGCATTTATGGGAGGTGAAAGGGGGCTTTGATGAGAAAGGGTGGAGTGGCTGTTATTCAAACAAAATAAGAGGCACATGTTAAAATTAACGCGGCAGCAGAGATGAAAAGAGCGTAATTATGAAAAGGGGTACTTATAAGAAGGAAATATCATATATCAGATAGGAAAAGGGACACGTGCCAAAATAAAAGGGGCAGTAGGTGAAAAGGGACACTCATCAGAGATGAAAAGAGCACTTGTCAGGAGGGGAAGGGGCACATGTCAAAGTTAAACAAGTATCTCTCAGATTAAAATAGCGCAATTATCAGAGGTGAATGGGCAAGTTCTCGAACCTGAAAATGGCGCTTACTAATAAGAATGGAAAATGGGAACTTGTAGACGGAAGGGACACTTGTACAAATTAATAGGGGCACTTGCCTAAGTAAAAGGGGCACTTTTCCTATGTTAAAAGGGGTACTTGAAAAAGTGGGAACTGTGCCTCGCCCCCCCCCCTCTTTCTCTCTCTCTCTCTCTCTCTCTCTCTCTCTCTCTCTCTCCTTCTCTCTCTCTCCCTCTCTCGATCTTTCTCTCTTCACATCAGCATTTCCCATTCGATTAACACGCCCTCTCAATATGTATACCCCAATTTCTTTGGGCGAACTTTTTTCTCCATTTAATTGCATGCTATGAGGCTTGACGTGGAATTTACATCGTATATGCCTTACAATAGGATGTCCGATCAAAATTCTTTCAAGATTTATCAACATCAATGTCTTGTCTGACTTCCTTTTTACTAAAAAAGAAGAATAAGTAAATGAGGCAAATCTCCAAAAGAACTAGGCCTATAGTTTTGATGAGGGGGGGGGGGGGTCTAACTGATGAGAAATAGAAAGGATTATAACATCAGACCGATGCATGACTTGTAATTGGAGGATGCTTCATTAATGACTTCGCTCCCGATGAATAAATAAGTTTAGTGAACCCTGTTGGATTGCCCTGCTCGTAATTGGCATGCTTAACATATTTCTTGCTTTTCTGAAATAGACGCCTTTATCTTTTCAAACCCATTGTTTCCTACTGCCGAAAAGTTGCATTCCGATCAAAAGAAGAGAATACGTAATGCCTCATCGGGTATCCTACAAGAGTGTCAGTTTGACTCTTGAACTCGATCTGGAGAACCATTACAGGTACCGTACAATACTGGACAAGATCACTATCTCGTTGGTCCTCAAACTCTCAGACGACAGCATGATCAATGATACTTGACATTGAAGGAATTGATTTCATAGATGCCTGATCACTGATATTTGCTGATTTTTCAATCATCCAAGGAAAGGTAAAATATTATATTTTTTATTTCGAATGATCAAGATGGGATTGAATATGCTTAGATTTTTGCTTTTCCAATATGGTGATGTTTTTGTTCTTTTTCTTTTTGTTGATGATGATAATGTTATTGTTATTGCTGCTGTAGCTGTTGTTGTTGTTAGTATAGCTTAAAAACGAACATCTTCATCAACAACATCAGCAACCACAACCACAACAACAAACAACAATCAAACAAACAAAGAAAGAACGCAAGTGTTTGTAATTAAATTAGTCTATCGAAAAGATTAAACCATTATCATCATCAAAACGAATATTCATGACCACTATTATGATATATTTAAAGGCCTGAGATTTATATATTTTTATATAGCGATTTCACTTGTAAGAAAGGTTTGGTTTTAAAAGAAATTATTTTATTTTTAACAGAAAATTCGGAGTATGGGTCGTTCGGGCACAAAACGTCAGTTAAAATCTCGACGACCACGGTCTTGCCAGGCTTGCTTCGTGCCCTTGAAGCCAGTTTTATCAAGCGCTGACCGGTTCATTCCCCATCGCCATATCGATCTTTCGGGGTTTCTACTCAATTCCAGAGCGAGTCGGATTCAGACGGAACACAGACGATGGCAACTGTCATCATCGTCGTCGTCGTTGTCGCAAGCCGACGACTCGACGGGAGAAAGCTTTACGACGTCGTTGTCTGATGAAAGCATAATGTCTGCATCGACCTCCAGCTCCATGTCAACGTCGTTATCCGAAAACAGTTTTAATGACACGGTAAGGACGAAGTTATTAAGTTTTTGACGAATTCTTTTTCTTCTTTTTGTTATCATAGATTTACAGTCATTATCATTTTTTACATATATCTCTGTCCAAAAATTGTTATTATAAAGAGAATTGTTTATTCGTTACGGTGCACGTATCAGATTATGGAGAAATGGCTAATGGCTTATATAGCTGCAGTGTGCCATGATCTGAGCAAAATCAATGCAGGCACAGTGAAAGTTGGCGGCTCTGTTGTATTTAAAGTTATTTATATAGATACTGTAATCATTGAAGCAGATAATACTGAGTATTTCATGCAAATTCCCTTGTATATACTTTCAATTTTGATTATTTATTCGTTTACTTGTTTTGGGTTTTCGTTTTCTATGTTAATATGGTGCCTTTTCGAAGTCATTCTGATCCATCATAATTATATTCTCACTAATCATTTAGACTTGCCACGATGATGTGTTCAGTGGGCAAGTTGCATCTATTCTTTTCGAGGGTTACGAGAAGGAAAATGAAGACATATTAAATTTCAAGCACGACGAAAAGCAAAACAGGTAAGATATTGACACGCCAAATTTGAATCCGATTCAGAAATAGTTTAAGATTAGGAGGTGAGGGCCCCTCCCACCACCACCACCAGGGGCGGATCCATGATTTTCCAAAGGAGGGGGGGGGGGGGGCTGGGGTGAAACTAAATTTCGAGCGCGAAGCTTATACGGCGATAATGATAATGATAATACGAAATAAATATTATCTATCATCCATCAATATTTTATATTTGTATTATCATTTATATTTATTATTATCATAATTATTATTAATATCATTTTGATTTGTATTATATTATTATCATCGTCATCATCATCATTATCATTTTCATATTTTTCATCAAAAGGGGGCAGAGATTCCATATTCTCGTCTTCACGTCACAGAAATGGATCGGATAATGGTCGGACGATTACTGGCAGACTACAAGTTGACCAACGCAGCAGATTTTTAGATAATCTCGCACCAGAGACTATCCTTAGTGCAGATCATGCTGCAGAACGTAAGTTCTTTTTTCCTTTCTTCTGCATGTTTATGATATTGCTACTTTATATAAGTTTGAGGTCAATATCTGTTTCCTCCCCAAACCAATTACGAGACGGGGTTGGGAGCTGCACTGAGCCTCTCCCCTCTTCGTCTTGAGACTTTATAGATATATTATTTTAGGTACCTATCACATTATGGTCGGGTAATGTTGGCGCTCTTGTTGTTGTGATCTGTGGAGGTGTTGTAGTCCA